CAGAGTGCTGGGATTAAAGGCGTGCACTACCACCTCCCGGCTGAGATAGGGTTTCTTGTGTATCTCTTGCTGTCCTGGAACTCACTCTGCAGTCCAGGCTGGACTCAAACTCATAGAGCACTGCCAATAATTACAATATCTGGATAGCCAAGGAAGAAAGAAGATGAATTGACCATTGTCTCGTGTGCGCAGAGAATGTCTCAATTATCAAGCGTACATGTATAGGAGGTGAAATCTATCATTTGGTCCCTTGTGGGATGCCATCTACTATTTGATTTTATTGATTTTATTATACCATGACTACTGTTCACAAAGAAAGATACACAGACTAGATTTTGAATATTGAACTTTGGAGAATGTATACAATCCACTGTTCTTAGCATAGGACAGGACACATAGGAGCATGGAGTTGAGCCTCTCCATGACTAGCTAGGTATAGCAGCTCACAGCTAGAAGCTTCCTTCTAAACTGCAATGCTCTTCTGCCCAACGAGTAGTCATAAGTGCTTCTGTACCTCAAGTACATTCCTGTCTCGTAGCAGCTTCCCTGAGTTAGGATGGCAATAACATGTTTTATACTAAAAGGTTAAAGGAAAAAGATCATTATTTCTAAGCTTCATCTTCAGCATTTTTTCTTTTTTTTACATTTTTTATTTAACTTTTTACACATGTCATTTTCAGTTCCCTCTCCCTCCCCTCCTCTCCCACCCCCAAGCCCTCCCAACCCTCACCCCCACTCCATCCCCTCACTGCTCCCCAGGAAGAACAAGGGCTTCCATGAGAGATTTTCAGAGTCCATCACATCATCCCAGGCAGGGGCTAGGTCCTCCCCCATGTGTCCAGGCTGAGAGAGCATCCCTCCACGTGGTATAGGTTCCCAGAGTCCATCTGTATGCCAAGAATAAATACTGCTGTACTCTCTGAGGTCCCACAGATTGCCAAGACTTCCTCTCTGTCACTCAGGTTTGGTGGGAGGGATGTCTGGATCAGTCCCATGCTGGCCTCTCAGTCATCAGTCTGGGGTCCATGTGTTCCCCCTTGTTTAGGTCCGCTGCCTTTGTGGGTTTCGCCAGCCTGATCTTGATTCCTTTGCCCATCACTCCTCTTTGCAACTGGGTTCCAGGAGTTCAATAAGGTTCACAGCTGTGGGTGTCTGCCTCTGCCTCCATCAGCCACTAGGTGAGAGTTCTAGGATAGCATATAAGGTAGTCATCAATCTCCTTATCATGGGAGGACATTTAAGGTAGGCTTACTGCCAGTTGGTGTCATTCCTGTGGATCTGTGAAGATCTTACTAGTGCCAGATCTCTCCTCCAACTTATAATGGCTCCCTCTTTTATGGAATCAAGTTACTAGTTAGGTGTGTTGGTCATGCTGTTTAATGAAGTCAGAAAAAAGGTAAATAAGATAGTGTCAAATGTCCTTAAATAGCCAAGTGATTGGTGGTAAGGACTGCAAAGGAGGTGGTTCAAAACATCTTACCAAGACTGTTGGCACAAAGCAGAGCCAAACAACACTAGAATCTTCTGTTCCCATCTGTGCTTTCCTGCTTTTTTCAAGGAAAGATTTCTCCTCCAAACACTATGTATCAGAATGAGTTAGCATCCTCTAATTTCAAAAGTGTTGCCAATCAAAGGAAAGCACTCAGGCCGCTGCCCTTTTCACTGAATTCTTTTCATTAAGTGATGTTGTTAGACACTGTCCAGTCACAGCAGCGGCCATGGCAGTTGATTATAATTAGACAATAAAGGAGAATGCAAGCATGCCAGTACTGAGCAAGGGTGCAAAGCAGCCCTCCAGCTTCTCATCCCAGTCACTTGTTCCAGCGTTATGAGAACAAATGAGATTTCTTGTTATGATGAGGGCCCTAGACACACTAGTGGGCATAGCATTGTGTCTCTGCACCTGTTTGGCAGTCTAACTCTGTTCTAGCTTCCTTCTGGTGGCATTAGAGTATTGTTTCTCAGCCATGGTCAGGAGCTAGGTTCTTCCAGTACAGGTTGATAACCCCATTCTTCATTCCCATCAAAGGTACCTGAACAATGCAATTCGGGGGTTTTAAGCTAACTTTCAAAGGTAGAGAAGCCGTTGTTAGAAAGATGGGGAAGTCTCCAACGTTGATATCAGAAGATTCCTAAAGCATGTCAGAAGAATGCAAATATGTGCACTTTAAAAAATTATAGGACAAAGCTAAGCAGTGAGTGTGCACACCTTTAGTTCCAGCACTCTGGAGGCAGAGGCAGGAGGATCTCTATGAGTTTGAGGCTAGTCTAGTCTATAGAGAGAGTTAAGAACAGCCAAGAATACATACGTTTGTACATATGTACAAGTACGTACGTACATACATACATACATACATACATGCATACATACGGCCAGCTTTTTCTTTCTGGCCACCAACCAGCTCCCAAATAGTGACATGGAAACATTAGTTTTGAATGCTCAGCCTAGTTTAGGCTTATTTGTGGCTATCTCTCTTTAACTTAGAATAACCTGTTTCTCTTTATCATTTGCCTCAGGACTTTCTGCCTTTATTACTCCCATATATCTTACTTTCCATGCTTTTCCTGTCTCCTGTCCCTCTTCTGCCTAGCTATTGGCTGTTCAGCTCTTTATTAGACCAATCAGGTACTTTAGGTAGGTACGGTGAAACAGATGCAACACATCTGTATGTAATTAAATGTATGCAGCACTAACAAAAGTAACACATCTTTACATTTTAATAATAGCTAAAGTAATATTCCTAAGTGTAAACAAATGTAGCACATGTTTGCCTAGTTAAAATAGTATGCTATAATGTGTGTTTGCGTGTCTGCGTGTCTGCGTGTGTGTGTGTGTGTGTGTGTGTGTGTGTGTGTGTGTGTGTGTGTATGTGTACACCAGACTCTAGGTTTGGCTTTATTACTAAGTTAGTTATGGTTTCCTATGTTCATTGTGAGAACAACCATGGCTTCATGTATTTATTGTGAGAACAAACAATGAAATTACTCATTATGGCAAGGGGCATTAGCCACACTCAGTGGGGACAGTATTGTGTTCCTTCTCCTCTTTGGCTTGGACTCCTTACTAGTTTGTTTCTGTGCCTTGCTACTAAGAAACCTGAAATGATAATGAAAACTCTCTCCCAAATATACCCTAAAGCAACACTTTCTGCTCTATCATAAATCCACTTTATTGTGGGAAGCTTTGCCAGCAGAGTGCCATTGCTTCTCTGCCGTCATCAGCAGTTTGGCTTCAGCAAAACAGGTTCCTAATCCCATCCTTAAATCCATGATTCTCTGAGTTGGACTGGCTCAGCTAGTCAGTTTGTGTGCCGTCAGGTGGACATCAGTCTGGGTCATCTGAAGTCACCTTCACATCAGCCAAACAGCTCTGCTTCTGGGCATTTACTGGCTGCCTGCTGGAGTAGCCTTCGTGATGGTAGGCATAGGAAGTGTCCTGAGCCATACGTCTCTTGTCATTAGCAGGTTGTCTGGGGCTGGTTCGCATGGTGATGACAGGTCCACATGAAAAGTAAAATGTGCGAAAACCTGTGACAGATGTTTTCATGTGGAATCAGGTCAAAAAGCTCGTCTAGATGCAGGAAGTAGATCCCAATGCAACAGCAAAGTAGGGGGCACGATAGCTGAGGACACTGGCCAATCTGGTATACCCCAACTTTGTCTGCTTATCTTGTTGCTAAGAAACCAAGATGTCAATGAAAATCTACTTCAAAATCTCCCCAAACAGCACTGGGCTGCCTCATCGTTGATTCACTTTTAATCAGGGGAGGTTTTTGGAGTTAAAGTCAGTTCCATTAAAGACTATGGACTATAAACAGCTTGTGACTCTCCAGTGCAACCCTGAATCTTATGAGGATTACCTGCGGGAGCCATCCTAGTGCACAGTCTCAAAGGGTCCTTGCCATCCATTATCACCTGCCTGTTCTCCTCTGGTTCCAGGGCACCACCTGCCAGGTATGACCTGCACCAGCGTTGCGTTATTCCCTTGTATTACTTCTTCCTGCTCTATCCAGTTTAGTGCCTTCTAAAACATTTGTGTCTGCCTCTCTGATATGTACGTTGGTATTTCTACTGTGCACTGCTAAAGGTGATTCTTGCCAATTCTATATAAGTTCTGACTCAGCCCAGCTTTCTTTAGGTTTGTGAAATCTACTAAGATTGTAGCATGCAGTGGTATAGCTGGAGGCAGAAAGTTCTGCTTGCCAAATATATTTTCCTTTATAGCAAGTGAACAAATTGATGTGCCAGGGAAACTGTAGCTATATTCGTGCAATGAGGTGCATCACTCTCTTCCATTGAATGTTTTCTCTTCTGCCATTCAGTCCTTGAAGACTGTACCAAGCTCCTGGTCAGATATACCTGTAACATGCCCAAATCTCTCAGTGTAAAATGATAATAACAATATGACTTTACAGTTGATGTGGAGTTCTTCTTCATTAACAGCACTCATTATTTCAGGCTGTTTTAACTTGGTTAAAAAAATTGGCTTTGCAGGTAGGACTTGGCTGAGGACTTAAGAGAAAATGGCTTGTTCCTAATTTTTTTTTTTTGGTTTTTTCGAGACAGGGTTTCTCTGTGGCTTTGGAGGCTGTCCTGGAACTCGCTTGGTAGTCCAGGCTGGTCTCGAACTCACAGAGATCCGCCTGCCTCTGCCTCCCGAGTGCTGGGATTAAAGGTGTGCGCCACCAACGCCCGGCTGTTCCTAATATTTTTTAAAAAGGGAAGTTTGTGTTACTTGTCAGTTCTATAACCATTGAATCAAATACTTCTGATAATGGCATGTTGGTTTGGTTTCTAATTGAGTTGGTATGATTCTCCCAGGCCCTATAAAGCCAAGGACTCCCAGGACTTCGCATCTGGCTTTGGGTTGATAGCATTAAGAGTACTCACACAGTTTGCCATTGCTTTCACAGTGTTTCTCATACCTTAACAAGCATTTGCTTTAAGAAGTAATCCATTTTTACATTGCTTTTTCATGGCTGTTTATTGTCTTATTGTAGGTCTGCTGGAAGAGACTCAAAGAAAAGACGAAGAAATGGAGACTCTACAGGTAAGGCTAATTCTCAGAGAGGGCACGTATCACTGTGATACAAAGATTTGTTTTTCTGATCTGCCATCTGTTCTTATTACCAAATTCAAACTGCTTCGGCACATGTGATGACAAGAACTACTTGGGAACATTAAAGTTGAAGTCTGAGTTTGCTCCGCTCAGTTGCCTTTGAGTGCACTTACTATTCTAAAGAGGTAGCCAGCTCAACCCATAGGCTACTTGTGTGCCTTGGTGCATTATAATGGGAACCTTGGCATTCAGAGATGAAGACAATATGCTTCCAAAAAGCTGGCCAATGTCAATGAATTTATAGAATGTACATTTTCAAGTCAAAGTCAAACTAACTTTCACTTAATGAATACCATCTACCAGTGGTTAACTAGGAGTGCTAACACATCCATGGAAGGCAGGATTTATCTTGAGTAGACTCTCATCTTACCATGGGTGCACCCACATTTCTCAGACTGGAAAATTATGGTTGAAAGGTTTTGTTATAATTCTAATTGAGAATTCCATGGTCTAAGCAACTGCTGCTCCATCCGCATCTAAAAGAACTCCCTCCCTGCTCTCTCATAGGGCTAACTTTCAAATGGGTAACCCACCTGTCTGTCTTCATTAGAGCAGACATAATCACTCCTACTCACATGACAGAAGCAGTGTCATGTTGGAGATTAAGCACTGTAAATACTTGGGGCATTTAGAGATCTTTGTGGGCCTTGAGCAGTAAAGCAAGACTGGAGGATAAATTAATGAGCTAGCGTGAGTGCTTTAGGGGTGAATATGTTTGCTTCTGGTAAATGAAGAATGGGTCAGGTTAACCAGAGCAAGCAAAGGAAATGGGTTTTAGTTGGATTTTCTTTGTTTGATGATGTATTCACTAAGAGAATACTGTATAATTGAACTAAAAATGCTCAGGTGGTATAGTTCTGGACATGTAGTAAGGGTGACACATGTCAGTTGAGCATAGTTTTATATAGATTAAGGTGTCTTTTTTTTTTTTTTACATTTTCCCACTAAATTAAGATGTAAAAAGCAAACAAGTATGAGGCCAGGAAGACTATCAAGGATACATACCCTACTCATTTATTTGTGTTACACTTACCACTGTTCCCAGAATAGCATGTGTAAGCATATGTATTGGAGGTATCTAGCCTTTTAAAATGGTAGCACAGATCATTTATATCTCTTGTAATATAAACGTTGGAATCAGTTACCTCATTAAATGCAGTATCCTATGCTGCTCCTCAAATGTTTATTAGTTATTGGTGCTTTTTTTTCCCCAAAATGTTCACCAGTGCAAAAGAATAAACCAGCCACATCTCCATTATCATTTACAGATATACATCGTACAACATGATGTTCTACAACAGGAGAGTAAAACAATGACCCCACTTTTCCTGGTGGCTAAAATCTGCAGCTATCCATTTAGATAAAGGGAGATAACACCTCTGAATGGCAAGAATTCACAGGCACATCATGGAGAAGTCTTAACTGTTAAAATGAATAGAGGCAAAACCATGGAAGATAGTTATGTGCCCCTAAGTTTCTGTACTCCAGTATAAAGTCCATAGGTGCTAAACAAGAAAGGGCCACTTAAGGACATAAGTTGAGGTCTTAATCCAGTAATTCTGTGGTAAGAAATGATTTCCAAAAGTACAGTAAGGAGTGTAAATCAAGAGCTTGGGTAAACTTTGGGCAACTCAATTAACTTGGTTGTGCCCATCCTCTTATCTGTGATCCAACTTCATAGAACTATCTTCCCAAAGTGTTTAATTTAGAGTAGACCAGCCCCAGAATAGTAACTTACTATCATCTTATACATATGTATAATCATATACTTACATGTAACAGTTGGTCTGCATTTAACATTATTTTTCTAAGGGCTGGTGTGCTTTCTTTGTCCTTAAATTTAATCAGTTTCTATAAAGACTCATTGAACAAATATTGAATGAATGATAATATTATCGTACATGGTACTTCTGAGTGCTAGGTAGTCAGATAAACCGTGTGCCTTTATTATGGATATATTATTGACTTTACTATCAGAATTCATGGAAAACCATTATATGGGTGCTTACAATGAGATATTGAAAAATGCTCTTAGAGGAAATGTGTTTCAACATGTAATTGGAACACTAGCCCTTATTATAGGTAGGGCTGATGAAAATGACTGGGAATTAATTGAAAGCAGATAGGTTGAGCTGGTATGAGATGATGATCTGAGTGGGCTTCCTAAAACCAGTGTTTAAATGAGCAGTAAGACTTATCCAGGCACATTTGGGAATCTGGGCAAAGCTTAGGCATTGTGAAGCTGTGGCAGAAGAGCACACTCTCAGGTTTATGGAAGTGCATGTTGTCCATTGTGATGGAAAGTCATGTGTGAAAGAGGAGAGGCAGGTGGGTGTAGAGTAAACACAGGTCCAACGACCTTGCACATTTATATATATTTAATGTATGTAAAACCTTCCAAGCATTTAGAACATAAAAACAGTATGATGGAATCTGTGTCTTGAATGTATCTGATTATAAAGTTAAACATACCTGGGAGGAGGTTAAGATTGAATGCAAAGAGGTCACTCTAGTTAGGAGTTGTGAGACTCTTGCCAAAGGATGGTGGAACCTTGCTTTAGGTGACAGAAACCTGTATGAGGAGGTGTAGGAGAAAGAGGGGAGAGGGGATGGAGGGAAAGGGGGGGAGGAAGGGAGATAGGGGAGAAAGGAAAGAAAGAAGGGAGGGAGGGAAGAAATAGAAAAATTAGAAAGTAGATTAGTCTTTAGGAATTAAAAATGCATTAAGCAAAACTCTTGGCTTGCATGATGAGGTCACTTCATGGATGGCTATGTCAGTAACAAGTGTCAGAAACCGATTATTTTAGTTATTGAGATGTTGAAGTGCCCAGGGGTGGGGGTTTGTGTGGTGATCCCAAGTCTACAACTCAGAAGGACTTGAAGTGGGCATGAAGAACTGGATGTCACTGACAATGCTGTCCACAGCATTTGGGTGACCTAACAGTCACAGAAATATGGAGAATCAGAAAAAAAATGAAAGCCTAGGCTGGATCACAGGCTGTACCAATATTTACATCCCAGATAAAGACAAAAGCCTATTAAGTTGTCAAAGACTTAAAGTAAAAACCTTCAAAAGAACACAGCATCATGCAGTTTACTGTATCTGTATTTCTTCCATATCAAGGGGGTAATAGATAAAGAGAATAGAATAAATATTTGTTATAACTGTGAATCTTTTTAGTTCTTTTTTTAAGTGAGGGGTTTTATTAGAAAGTGGAGAGAGAGAAGGAAAGAGAAAAGAGGCAAAGAGACACAGAGACAGGTAGAAGACAGGAGAGAAGAGGGAGACAGGAGAAGTCCTGCCTGCCCTAAGGGAACACCGGGAAGAGTGAATGTTTTTAGTTCTGTGTTTGGCTTCAGAAGTGAAATTGACTACCCTCTTAATCCTGCCATGTCTATGCTATAACTCTCATGCATTTCATTTTCTAAGTGTCCACTACTGAGCCACAGCAAGTTCTTGGTAAGTTTCTATAGACTGAGCAGATGAACAGCACCCACTCACCTCCTCAAGGCCCGCCCAAGGAAAAACTACACTCACTCTGTCATTTCCAATTTGAAAACTTTAACAAAGACACTCGGGTTCTTCCCTTACTCTTCTGTCTTTCTGTCTGCCTCTTGCTTTTTCTCTCCCTTCTTTCCCCCAACTCCCTGTCCTTTCCTACCCCGCTCGACCTGTCCCTCGCCTCTAACTGTACAAAGCGCATACTATGGCAAGTATAGGAAGAGGCGGCTAAAAGGGTAAAATGGCAGGAAGAGAAAACTATCGGTCTTTCAAAGAACTGCAGATGATTGAGATAAATGTTCAACGGCTAGATGGTTGCAATGCAGTTTGTAACCAAAATCCTTCACTGGAGCTTCATACTGCCTGGCCCCTCTCCTTGTGACATTCATCTGCAGTTACATTGTGTGTTACTCTTCCTATAGCCAAGTACAGTCCGTGGTGCAGTATCACAGTCCTACTTACATGTGGGTTTGAGATACATAGAAGGAAACATCTCAACTTCAGTCTTGATACTGGTAGAAACATTTCAGTTGACGCAGAGGTAATCCATTTTCCATTCACTTTCTGAAATAAATGTATACACTGGTGATGGCTGCTTTTGTTTTCGTTTCCTCTATTACCAACCCATATGACTCATTTTTCACAGACTTCTAGCTTTTCCTTCATGTTGTTATGCAAGCCCCAGAATGCAAAAGTACACTTGATTAAGAAGAGGTCACAGGTTCTTCAGAAACATGTCATAGAGCGCATGTGAGAGCCGCTGCATTGGCACTGTGCCCCAGGACCAGGGGGCAGAGGCGGAGGTTCCAGCCAGCTAGCTTTCTTGGTGAATTCAGGACAAGTGAGAGATTCTATATCAGTATGTAATTAATAAATTAAAAGTAAAAGGTGGACGGCTTCTGAGGAAATGCAGTTGATGTTGTCCTCTGACCTCTACATACATGAACACACATGTGACCTGCACACACTTGTGGAAACACACACTCACACAAGTAACAGCTCAGAGTGTTATCTGAGCGCCACAAGCAGAGAGCCCAGCAACTCTTAGGCTCTCCCTTTTTTGTTCATTTACAGTCATCTTTCTTGCCATTTTATTTGAAATGGGTTGAAGTTTAGATGAACGTGAGGTTTGGGGTGGCATTACATGTCTTATGAATCAGGAGCATGGGCAGTTCTAACTTCTGCACTCCAGGCTTTTGTGAGAACCATGAAAGCTTTGTTGCCTGGCAAATCCTCACTGACTTTGAATTCTACACATGCTCACAGTGTTCTTGTACCTGATACATGACAAACATGGTGCCTTCATCTAGGAGTATAGCATCTAGGAACCCCGATGAAGATCTTGCCCAAGTTTAATCCTCACACGCCCCCCCTTTCTTCCCTTATTCTTCTTTCTCCCTCTTCCCTCATCTTCTATTCCTCCAGTTCC